CAGGGAATGTCGGGGCTGGGAGGACCCTTAGAACAGGGAATGTCGGGTCTGGGAGGACCCTTAGAACAGGGAATGTCAGAGCTGGGGGGGCCTTAGAACAGGGAATGTCGGGGCTGGGAGGACCCTTAGAACAGGGAATGTCAGGGCTGGGAGTGACTTTAGAACATGGAGGGACAGATCATAAATTTATAAAGAAAAAGAAATTACCTTTCAGATATATGGATAAAGGAATAATTCAGGACCAAAGGAACAGAAGATAAAAGTGGACGGTTTTTATTACATAAAACTAAAAAAGTTTTGCACAAATAAAATCAAGGCAGCTAAAATTAACAGGGAAGTAGAGAACTGGGGGGGGGGGGGGCAATCTTTGCAGCAAGTTTCTCCAATAAAGGTCTCATTTCCAAGCTATAGAAGGAACTGATTCAAATTTAGAAGAAGAAAAACCATTTCCCACTTGGCAAATGGTCAGAAGATATGAACAAGTAATTCTTTAGAACAGGAAATGTTCCCCACGGGAAGGGGCTTAGAACAGAGACCATCAGAGCTGGGAGGGGCCCTATCCTGCAGAAGCTATCCAGTCTATTTGGCACAAGGGGAAACTGAGGCCCTGGGGTGAGGGGGTACTGGGCAGGGCTCCGCTCTGGGCCTCTTACCACATCTACTTGTAGCAAGAGCACTCGAAGTGCATAGTTCTTCCCCAGCCCTTGCAGACGCTCATGGATGTAATTGGGGTGCAGGTTGTGGTAGCGAAGGCTGTGAGAGAGAACCAGGGAAAGTCCGTTCAGCAAATTCCGGAAACCTTAAGTCCTCGCCCTCACCCATCTTACGTGGTAAGTTGCCTAGTGAGGGGGGAATGCGGTGGGATTTGGAGTCAGAAGACTTGCTTCAGACCCCAGTTGTGCCAAATGTGTGACCTTGGGCATGTCCCTCCCCCTTGTCTGGGCCTGGAGAACAGGGGGTTGGACTAGATCCTCCTCCTTCCCCGGATGCCTCCAAAGTTCATTTCTCTCAGGGTTCTCAACGGGGGTAGGTCCAGGAGCCACAAGGAGCGTCCTCTGAGCTTGGCTGGGAAGACAACTGATGACATCTGTGTGTTCACTTCTAAGAAATTTACATTTCCTTTAGTTGTTAAAACTCCAGGCTTCCCCAGCCTCACTGCCCAAGGGCTCCAGGACACAAGAAGATGAGACAAGCCTCTGACCTAGCCCGACCCCCTCATGTAACAGATGAGAAAAGAGGCTTGGACCGATTGAGCGGCCTGCCTGAGGTCACATATGCTTAGTGAAGGGCAGAGCCACAATTTTGCTGAGATGTTCAGTCGTGTCTGACTCTCTGGGACCCCATTTGGGTTTATTTTGACAGAGGTACTGGAGTGGTGTGCCATTTCCTTCTGCAGCTCATTTTACAGAGGAGGAAACTGAGGCAAACAGAATGAAGTGACTTGCCCAGGATCACAGGGCTAGTAAGTATCAGATTTGAACTCAGGCCTTCCTGACTCCAGGCCCAGTGCCACTTAGCTGCCCTTTATCCCAGATCCTAAGTGTCCAAACCCATCATTCTACACCATGCCAACCCCCGTGATACAATGATACCTAACACTTCAGGGATAAGTCATTTCTGAGATGTGTCCATCCCCCAGCATGGATGGAAACCCTTCCGTGATGCAGTAAATGATCAGATTCCTGTGGCCAAAACATGGGATGGGTCGCCTGGCAGTCAATCAGGTCATGACCCAGTCCAAAGCTAACTAGTTTGGTCCTGGCATGACGATCATGCAGTCCATCCCTGGGCCTGTACTACAGGCCTTTCCAGCTGGGCAGGAGCCATCTGAGCTCTCTGGGCTCTGCTGACCCAGCCTTTGGGACCCCAAGGTCACTGCCTTACTTCAAATGAGGCCTGGGGAGGGTGGGCTGGGGCCCAACGACCCCCACCCTTTTAGGTGTGTGTGGGTGGTGGGGCAGGGAAGTCTTCAGGGAGAACTTGGCACCTGCCCTTGGCCCTTGAAGGAAGAGGCTATCGACAGGTGGAGAGGTTAATCAATCTTTGAGCGTTTATTCCGCCCCTGCTACAAGCCAGGCACGAAACTAGGTGACAGGAACACAAAGAAATGGAAAACGAGCCCTTGCTGTCTAGGAGGGGAGATGAGGGCTCCTCCCTAAGTTCTCCACCCCACCCTTTTTCCTGGTTCCCTAGGATCCCACACCCCAGCTAGCAGGGCTCTGACTTTCCATTGCCTTCTCCCATCCCAAATCCTGTATCTCTAGGTGATTTTTTCTTTTCAGAGTTAGAGTTCATGTAGGGAGGCTTCTGAGAGGAGAGGAGGGCCGAAAGTCGGTGGCGGGAGATACTTGGGTTGGGGGCTCACCTGAGGAAGAGGGCACAGGTGCTCTGACCCATCACATAGTCGGGGACAATTTCTCCAAATTCCCAAGGCACGTTCCTTATGAACTTCAGGACAGGATTCCCCCTCTGGGAAGAAGCAGGAGGTGAAAAGAGAGCTTTGGTTTCCCCCTGTTCCTCTGTGTTCTGGGATTACCCCACCTCACCTGTCGGGGGTTCACAGTGATGGTACTGCTCTTGGTCTGAGGTTTGGGGGCCTGAGGGCCCTGGTTGGCGATCTCTTCTGCAGGCGGTCCCAGGCTGGGAGCGGCTTCGGGGCCGGCCCCTTGGGGAGCGGCTTCTGCCTGGACCCCTCCAGGACAGAGCCTGGTTGTTGTATAGTTGGCATAGGTTGGAGTTGCCTCATGGACAGAGGTGGCAGGTGAAGGAAGGATCCGGCTGGATTTGAATAAGGACTTTACCTGAGGATAGGGGAAGGAGGAAGGTGTGAAGACTTCTGTTTCTCCTTCCGAGATCCATCTGAGAGCACTGACTGATGGAGCTGAAAGTGAGGCCAGCCTCCTTTTACAGAAGAGGAAACTGAGGCCCAACCCAATTGACTAAGCACTGATTATGTAGCCGAGATGCACAAAAAACCCCACATTGTTGCTCCCATTAGAATGTAAGCTCACTGAGAACAAGCTGACTGTATCCCTGGCACTTATCATAGTGAGGGCTTAATAAATGTTTGTTGACTGGCTGACTGACTGTAAAGCCGATGTTAAAACCCAGGTCCTGAGAGTTCATGGTGTCAGGGGAAGAGGAAAGGCTCACCCCAGAGACTGCCTTCTTCACCCCATACGCCCCCTCCACAGCCTCCCTGACAAGCCTCTGCTCAACTACCGCCAGTGATGGGGAGCTCACTTATGTGAGGCAGCTGTTTGGAAAGGTTTTCCCTTACACAGTGCAGATATGTCTGTGTACCCCCTCCCTGCCCCCATGCTCCCGATTCTGTCCTCTGGGTCCAAGCCAGAATGAGCCATGTGACAGCCCTTTGGTGCAGGGATCTCAGGATCTCCTGCATCTCTTCTGCATCACCAACATCCCTCATTTGACAGAGGAGGAAATTAAGGCACAGAGGGGGAAGGGCCTGGCCCAGGGTCCACGCAGAGCATTCCAAGCATTCCCTGATAATCTCCCTGGGGCTGGCCAGGGAACCCAGCACCATGACATCCCTGGCTTACTAGCTGTGATCCTGGGCAAGTCACTTCATCCTGTTTGCCTCAGTTTCTCCTCTATAAAATGAGCTGCAGAAGGAAATGGCACACCACTCCAGTACCTCTGCCAAAATAAACCCAGATGGGGTCACAGAGAGTCAGACACACAGAGCTGGGGCTGGGATCCTACTTTCCAGACTCCCAGCTTCTGCAGATGCTCCCACATGCCAGACCCCCAGTGCCTCAGTGGCTTTATCCAGGAGGAGCCCAAGGGCCAGGCTTGGTTCTCCTCCCTCTCCCCTCCCCCCTCCCCCAGCTACCTCCAGAGGTGGAGCCTCCTCCAGGGGGATGGTGAACTTCTTTCTCTTAGGGGGCTGGGTGGCCTCCTTCTCGCTGGCCATCTCTGGTTCCTGGCCTGGAGCAGACAGAGGATGGTAGCTAGCATTCCAAGCATTCCCTGATAATATCCCTGGGGCTGGCCAGGGAACCCAGCACCATGACATCCCTGGCACCTCTCAGCATTCCACATTCCCAGCTCTTAGATGTTTCCCACACCTCTTAGATCTCCAGGCACCCAGCACCCCAATGTCCCTGGTGCCCCACAATGCTCCACATTCCCAGCACCCCAATGTCCCTACCACCACCCCAGTCAGCCAATAAACATTAAGTACCTACTATGTGTCAGGCACTGTGCTAAGCACTTGGGATACAAAGAGAGGCAAAAGGCCCTCCCCTTGAGGAGCTCCCAGTCTAATGGGGGAGAGGACATGAAAATAACTCTATACAGACAAGCTCTAGAGGGACAAATAGGAAATAATCCCAGAGGGAAAGCACTAGATTTCAGAGGGCTCAGGAAAGGCTTCCTGTAGGAGGGGGGATTTTAGGTGGGACAGGAAGGAAGCAGGAGGCAGAGATGAGGAGGGAGAAAAGCCCTGGCGTGGGGGAGGGCCAGTGAAAATGCCTGGAGTCAGGAGATGGAGGGTCTGGTTTGAGGAACAGGAGGCTGCTGTCACTGGATCAGAGGTGGGGGGTGGGGAGTGCAAGGTGTAAGAAGATTGGAAAGTGGGGGTGGAAGGGCTTTGAAGGCCACACAGGATTTCATATTTGATTGTGGAGGTGATAAGGAGCCACTGAGTGAGGGGGGTGGGTGTGGTGTAGGGTCCTATCTTCCCTTTAGGAAAATCATCATGGTGGTGGCTGAATGGAGGATGGACAGGAATGGGGAGGGACTGGTGGCAGGCAAAGCCCTCCCCCCACCCTTGCAGCTAGTGCAGTGATCCAGGGGTGAGGCGATGAGGGCCTGGACGGTGGGAGTGGTGTCAGAGGAGAGGAGGGGATGTAGATGAGAGATGCTATTCTGGTGAAATTGACAGGCCTTGGTGACAGATTAGATGGGGGGGGGGCAGTGTGAGACTGAAGAACTGGGAAGATGGTGGTGCCCTCTACTGTAAGAGGGAAGTCAGCAAGAGGGGGAGGATTTGGGGGAGAAAGATACCGAGGTCAGTTTCAGCCCAGTCTAGTGTAAGATGTCTACAGGACCTCCAGTTCAAGATATCTGGTGGTTGGAGATGAGATGCTGGAGTCAGTAGAGAAGTTAGGATTGGCTAAAGAGATTGGAGAGTCATCAGTATAGAGATGATAATTGAGTCCATTAAGAACTGATGAGATCACCAAGTGAAATAATAGGGAGGGAGAAGAAAAGAAGACCCTGGACAGAGCCCTGGGGAATGTGTTACCTGGATGACCGTCTAGCTGAGGAGACTAAGGAACAATCAGACAGTTGGGAGAAGAACCAGGAGAGGTTGGTGCTATGGAAATCGAGAGAGTACCAAGGAGAAAAGGGTGATGGACAGTGTCAGAGGCTGCAGAGAGGTCAAGGAGGAGGACTCAGAAAAGGTCATTCAACTTGGCAATTAGAAGATCGATGGTAATTTTGGAGAGAGCAGTCTCTGTTGATTGATGAGATTGGAAGCCAGACTGCAGTGAGTGAGGAAGGAACTGAGGGGAGAGGAAACAGAAGGAGCCTTCTCAAGGCGCTTAGCTCTGAAGGGCAGAAGAGATATGGGAATGATAGCTAGTGGGGAGGGATGGATCAAGTGAGGGATTTGTGAGGATGGGACATGTTTATAGGCAGTAGGGAAGGAGTCGATGGACAGGGAGAGACTGAAGGTAAGAGTGGGCGTGACAGAGAAAGCAATCTGTTGGAGAAGGCAGGATGGAATGGGATCACCTGTGCAGGGAGAGGGGTTTGACTGGGCAGGAAGGGCCACCTCTTTGTGTGAGATGGGGGTGGAGAAGGAGGGGGTGAGGAATCTGGATGACGTGAGATGAGAAGAGATCAGGGAGCTCCCAATAAGTGGCTTCATTTTTTTCCTCTGTAAAATACCGTCCCAGGGAAGGGAAGGAGGGAGGAAGGGATAGAATTTGGAACTCAAAACTTAAAATGTTGAAAATTGTTTTAACATGTAGTTGGGGTAAAATAAAATATATTTTAAAATATATATGGCAGGGTTTTCAGCTGAGAAGTCGGGGGAGGGGAAGCTTTGAGACGTTTGAGGAGGGATGAAAAGGTGTAGAAGAAGCGCTGTGGACAGTGGGACAGTGAGGTGATAAGGAGGTATGGTAGGATTGCCGAGCAGTAGGGAGAGCCCAGTTGAGGTTAGGCAACATAAATAGTGGACCCAATCAGCAACTCCTTCCTTTAACAGCACGTGTACCCCCCCATGTCCCTGCCGCCCCCCAATAATTACCTTCTAGACTAGAGCATCCATCCCTAGCAATCCAAGCTTCCCACCCCCTCCACTGGCCCCCAGAGCCCCACAAGGCCCGCCCCTGATTGCCACGTGCCCCACCCTCTCGCTTGCCCCGCCCCCTCGTCCCTGAGCCGCACAAGTCCCGCCCCCTCCCTTGTCCCTGGGCTTCACAAGCCCCGCCCCCTCGCTTGGCCCGCCCCTGACTTCACATGCCCGCCTGCCAGTTGCTCACCTTCTGGGCACCCCTTGTGATTGATCAGCGGGACAGCCAATCCCTGACGCACGACACGCTCCCCTAGCACCGCGTGGCCTCCACTGCCACCACCCAGACTGTGCCCTCTGATCCTAGCTCGGGCTCCGGTACAGCCGGGATCCTTCGGAATGCCTGCGGTGGAGAAGAAGAGAGCCTAGCTTCGGCTAAAGAGGCCCTCGTAGGCCTCTGGCAGCGGCACTTCCGGCTTTTCTGTCCCTGTGTAAAGGACCATTGAGATGTGACACTCTGGCCCAGCGCTCTATGGCCCTGGAGGACTGGGGTGGGGTGGGGAGGGAGTGGCTCCGATGTTTCTGTCTCTTTCCTGCCGTGTTTCCTTTGCTTCTGACTCTCCCCATTATTCCTGAGCTGGAGTTTTGGAGACCTGGGTTCTGAGTTCTCTGTGGGCAAGTGTCTTCCCATCCCTGGGCCTCAGTTTCCTCCTCTGTAAAATGGGCATCTCTAGTTCCTAAGTCCCTTCTTGCTCAGATCACTCTCTATCTTCATCTTCCTTCCCATGAGCTCTTCTTTCTCCCTTCTTCTGCCTCCTTTTCTCCCCCTTCCTCAATTGGGTTAATGTAATTACTTCACATCATTCACTTGAAAAAAAAGTTTCACTGTTCCTTGTTCTTCATTTTTAAGCCAGTGAGTGGATGGGGAGGGGGTGAAGGAACCCAGGTATCCCCCACGCCCACTCCCAACCCAGGCTTTCCCCTCCATGCAGAATCACAGAACTTCAGAAAGGAAAGGGACTCAGTAGCCATGTAGTCCAGTGGGGTCCCCCCACCCAGATCTCCCATGCCCTTTCCCAGCCCTGGAAACCTGGCGTCGGTGACATCGGCATGGAGAGAAGCCCAAAGAATGCCTTCCTTCTTTCTCTTTAGAAACAAATTAAATGGTTACTTTTCATGTAAGTGGGATACTTGATTTATTTAAGCCACTGGACAAGTGAGATAATAATTGTAAAAGGGCTGAGCACAATGCCTGGTACATTGTAACTACTACATAAATGTTAGCTGTCATCATTATTATTATCATTATTAATTTCCAGGCTTGAGGGGAATGTGGGGAGTGAGGAAGCTTCCTGGAGGAAATGGGATTTCAGTGATGGGAAGGAGAAAGAAGAGTCTGGGATATAGGACAAAAAAACCTGGTATTGATACCGAAAGACCTGGCTTTGAATCCCAGCTGTTAGTTATATTCTGTATGACCTTGGGCAAATCACATTTCCCTTCTTGGTCTCAGTTTCCTCAATTGTAAAATAAGGGGATTAGACTAGATGGTCCTCAAGGGCTTTTCCCAAACTAAATCCCATGATCCATTTTCTCCTAATTCTTCATGTTCATCATTTCTTAGGGTATATGTGTATATGTATATAGATAGAGGGAGGGATGTAAGTATAGATTACTTACAGATTTAGAAAGTTTGCTGGGGGCAGCTAGATGGCGCAGTGGATAGAGCTCCAGCCTTGGAGTCAGGAGGACCTGAGTTCAAATGTGATGTCAGATATTTGACACCAGGTGTGTGACTCTGGGCAAGTCACTTAACCCTGTTGTCTCACCAAAGCAAAAAACAAAAGTTTGCTGAGGGTACTAAGGTTAAGTTACTATTCCAGGGTCACATAGCCAGTACCTGCCTGTCCCAGGTAGGACATGAACTCAGAGCTTTCTGACTTGGAGGCTGGCTTTCTGTCCTGTTTCTCATACATACGCATATAATACAAATTCTTTGGACATTCCTCAGCCATTGGGCCATAGTTTCTAATTCTTTGGAATGACATATAATGCTGATCATTTTCTGTAGTAGTAAACACCAAGACCAAGGGTGATTGATGTCCATCACTCAGGGAATGGCTGAATACTGTGATCAGGTATGGGTCAGTTACTTATTGTATTGTCAAGTATTTTGGGCAGCTAGGAGGTGCAGTGGATAAGATGCTGGGCCTGGAGTCAGGAAAACCTGACTTCAAATCCAGCCTCAGACACCTACTAGCTGTGTGACCCTGGGCAAATCACTTTAACCCTGTTTGGCTTTGTTTTCTCATCTGTAAAATGAGCTGGAGAAGGAAATGGCAAACCCCTTCAGCATCTCTGCCAAGAAAACCTCAAATGGGGTCATGGAGAGTCATGCATGACTGAACAACAACAACAGGTATTTGTTTCCTATACACAAAGGAAATGCTGAACACAAAACCACAAACATTCATTTGATAAAAACCAAACTTAAACAAGTGTTAGTATGAACAGCCCTTCTCCAGCAGATTCTTCGCCCCAGCATTCTACTCTTTTAACACAAAGAACAAGAAAGCATCCCCTGCTATCTCCTTTTTCACGCCCATCCCACATAGAGGGGTGGCCCTTCCCCTTTCTGAAGCAAACCCCTCTCCACTCACAAGCAATCCAGTTTCACCCCAGCTTCTCCAGCAGACTGCCCCCATCATCCCCACTCTCTCACTTACCTTCACTCACTCCCTGTTTCCTGACTGCTACCCTGCTGTCCACAAACTTGCCCATGGTTTCCTCATCCTCAAAATACCTTCCCTTAATCTATCCCTCCCCCTAGCAATCATCCTCTATTTCTCCCCCCTTTTGTAGCTAAACTCCTGGAGAAGACCGTCTATAATAGATGCCTCCATTTCTTCCCCTCTCACTCTTTTCTTAATTCTCTGCAATCTGGCTTCCAACATCATCATTCAAAAGAAACCATTCTCGGGGCAGCTAGGTGGCACAGTGGATAGAGCACTAGCTCTGAAGTCAGGAGGACCTGAGTTCAAATCTGGCCTCAGACCAAACACTTGACACTTACTAGCTGTGTGACTGTGGGCAAGTCACTTAACCCCAATTGCTAAAACAAACAAACCCCCCCAAAAAAGAAACCATTCTCTCCCAGTTACCAATGCTCTCTTAACTGCCAGATCTAATGGCCTTTTCTCAGTCATCTTCCTTCTGGACTTCTCTGCGGCCTCTGACACCGTGGATCACTCTCTTCCCCTTGACTTCCTCTTATTTTTTTTAACTTCTTTTTTTATTAATTTATTTTAATTTATCAACAATCACTTCCATAAGCATTTGAGTTTTAAATTTTTCTCCCTCTCCCTCCCACCTCCCTCCCCAAGACAGTGTGCAATCTGATGTAGGCTATACATATACATTCCTATTATACATATTTTCACATTAGTCATGTTGTAAGGAAGAACCAATTGGAGGAGTCACAAAAAAAAGGAAACAAAACACAACAGAAGAAAAAAATAGCAAATAGTCTGCTTAGATCTGCATTCCAACTCCATAGTTCTTTCTCTGGATGTGGACAGCATTTTCCATCGTGAGACCTTTGGAGATGTCTTAGATCCTTGCATTGCTGAGAAGGGCTCAGTCTATCAAAGTCAGTCATCGCACAATGTGGCTGTTACTGCGTACGACGTTCTCCTGGTTCTGCTCACTTCATTCAGCATCAGTCCATACAAGTCTTTCCAGGTTTTTCTGAGGTCCTCCAGCTCATCATTTCTCATAGCACAATAGTATTCCATTACATTTCTATCCCACAACTTGTTCAGCCATTCCCCAGCTGATGGGCATTCCCTCAATTTCCAATTCTTTGCCACCACAAAAAGAGCTGCTATAAATATTTTTGTACATGTGTTGACCTTCTCTTCTCCCTACATTTTGGGGACACCACTCTCTCTCCTGGTTCTCCTTCCACCGTCTGACCACTCCTCAGTCTCTTTTGCTAGATCTTTATCCAGGTTACATCCACCAACTGTGGGGGAAACTCGTGCGGGACCCCATGCTCTTCTCCCTCTCTATCATTTTACTTGGTGATCTTGTCAGCTCCCATAGATTCAATTATTGTCTCTCTGCTGATTCTCAGATCTACTTATCTAGTCCTAACCTCTCTGCTGATCTCCTGGCTCCAGTCTCCAACTCGAAATGGATGTCCTATAGGCAATTTAAACTCAGCATGTCCAAAACTGAACTCAATATCTCACCTCACTCCTTCCAGACCTTCATTTCTAAACTTCCTTATTACTGTCCAGGGTACCACCAATCCTTCTGGTCTCCCAGGCTGGCAGCCTAGACTCCCAACTATCTCTCACCCCTCATATCCAATCTGTTGCCAAGACCTTCTGATTTCACCTTTGCAGCATCTCTCGAATATGCCGCCTTCTCTCCTCTGACCCTGCCCCCCCCCCCCCCGTGCATCCCTCATGCCCTCACACCTAGACTATTGCAATAGCCAATGACAGGTCTGCCTGCTTCAAGGCTAACCCCCTCCAAACCATCCTGGACTTAGCTACCAAAGTGACCTTTCTAGAACACACTGACCATTTCATCCTCCTATGCAATAAACTCCATCGGTTCCTCCAGTATCAAATGGAAAATCCTCTTTAACTTTTAAAGTCCTTCCCAACCTGGCTCCTTACTACATCTCCAATCCACATACATTATTACTAGATAATAATAACTAATGTTTATATAGTGCTTTACAAACAACTGATTTTATCTTCTTCTCCATCTTATGATTAAGGAAACAGCCAGAGGTTTGGTGACTTGTGCAAGGTCACACACCTACTAAGTGCCTAAGTGCAAGGTCTTCCTGATTCTAGAACTAATTCTCTCTCTCTCTCTCTCTCTCTCTCTCTCTCTCTCTCTCTAAGTCGGAGTTAAGTGACTTGCCCAGGGTCACACAGCTGGAAAGGATCTGAGGCTGAATTGACACACAGGTACTCCTAACTCCAGGGCCAGTGCTCTGTCTACTGTGTGGTCTAACTGCCCCCAGAACCAGTTCTCTATACATTAATTTGAATATGACGTGCTATCAATCTGCTATTTTGTGGGTCCCCTGTATTCCTTTTCTTTTCCCCCTCCCAGAGAATCATTCAGTATAACCAAAAAAAATTGTTCCTTTCTCTTCTCTTTACTTCCTTTCTCTTCTCCTTTCTTTTCACTGGGTCTCCCTATTGCCAAGCCTGGAGGTGAAGGGGCACATCCCAGAGCCCACCCCCTCTGATCAGTACCAGAGGTTTGATCAGCTCCAAGTCTGATCTGGGCTAGTTCTCTCTTAGGCAACGTGCTGAGTCCTGCCTGCCTTCGCCCCCTCCTGGTGGCTCACGGTATTGAAGCCAGACTTATCACGGACATCAAATTGGCTTAGCCCAGAGATCCCTTTGTCTTCCCTTCCTCTGTGGCACGGACTACTGGCATATGCTGCCCATTC